ATAATTAGAACATCTTGTGAATTATATCTATTTGTGAAGTGATAAAGTTGTGAATAGAAGAAGTGAAGTCTAAATTGTTATTCTAATTAGTGCTTAAACATTTAAGTGTTTGACATCATTATTAAATACTTGATATAAGAGTAAAAAATGCCTAGAGGTACATCATTTCTAATTATATTTTTATGCATTGAAATATGATGTTTTGAGATTTGTGAATTTTTATTAATTTTCATAAATCTATTGTTAATGGACTATCAATGATTTAAGTTGGAGGGTGTGATAAGTTTTTATTATCATGAGTTAATAATTAAGAAATAATATATTTTTAGCCTTAACACATGATAAATAGACTTATATTTGTGTTAAATTATAAAAAGTGGTTTTTAGTTTATTAATGTGATTTTATGTGAATTTATATAATTTTTCTAATCTTCTTTTTGACATAAATGTAGAAAAAAAAAAGATAGAAAAAGAGGGGGAACGTAGTCAAGGTAGAGTCGTGAGCAAAGGCTCAAGCAGTTATGGACCAATGGAGGCATGATAAGTTTTCATTATCATGAGTTAGTAATTAGTAAATAATATAGTTTTAGCTTTAACTAATGATAAATAGACTTATGTTTGTGTTAAATTGTGAAAAGTGGTTTTCAATTGATTAACGTGAATTTTGAACTAATTATGTGATTTTCTATAAATTTATATAATTTTTATAATCATATTTTTGAGATAAATGAAGAAAAAAATATTAAAATAAAAATATAACAAAAGAGGGGAACCCACTGGCCAGCCGGCCCTGCAAGTGGGTCGGAAGCATAGTTGGGGGAAACTACAAGTAGGGGCTCAAATGACTAGGACCGATGGGGGCATGTGTGGGCCACTCTCCTTCCACATCACCGGTGGCCAGTCAACTCTAGGGCAAAGAGTGGCCGTACACACAAGAGATAGGGACTCATTGCTTACAAATGTGATATTACTATATATTTGTACAAAATTTTGACGCACAAGCAATGTGAGACTAAACTAGCGGTCACACCTTCTCCAGAATGTTTTTGAAGACTTTAGTACTTAAACTATCCTTTACTTATAAAGGAGATATATCATGATGATGTCACTTAATAAGGTCATTACAGTACTTATTTCAATCTCTCTCATGTAGGTAGGCAACCAGTACAGGTTCGAATCTTCCTAGAGTAAAAACTTATATTTTTATCTAATTATCGTGACTTTCCTACAGATTGTCGATGAAGGATTAAGCCGCTAGAATCATTCGATCATCGGTAAAAATCTCATCAACGCGATTTGTAGAGCATGGTTACTAAAATCACTGAACGATTCACGATAAAAGGATTGCGAATCCACTAAGTAAATCATCTCCAATTGATTGACGAACAAGTTGTTATCGAAAAGAGGATGATCTGCAAGGAAACGAGTCACCACCTCCTAAGAGCATACTTGATGTAATAAAGAGCCTCCTCTTGTTACGCAAACCTTAGGATGAAGCTCCCTAACATGCGCCCCACCTCCATCTAGCTCTTCTTCGTTAGGTGACAGCCACTGGAGAGTTGTAAAGTCTCTATTTTTCCAATCCGCTAGGTGACAGTCACTGGAGACGATTCGACGACCTATTTAATTAATCTCTAGACTTTGCAAGGAGATCTAGAGATTGCCCACGTCGTCTTTGTCCAAGAAAAACCTTCGAGGTTGTGGACATTTTACAATGATCCTCTCAAACACTCAAGATTTTATTTTTCTACTTTTAACTTATTTTCTACTTCATTTAATGATAATTTATGTGATTTAAATTTACCAAGCTATACTTCATTCAATTACGATTCTTTCGACTTTTACAGATCTTAATATGATCAATTAAATTATCTATAATCGCTTATGTAAGAATCACTGAATAGAACTTTGTTTCCACCTGATTCACGTTCGTCAAGCATTGACACCATCCTAACCTCTACACCTTTATTTTCTTTTTTGTAAATTTTAAATATATTTTGTTTTTATTTATTAGTATATAATTTATAAAAAATAGTATTTTTTAAAACAATTCTAAAAAATTACATAATATTATATTACATCCATGTGATCGATTAGAAAATTACCACTATTTTTAGAAGTTTTATTTAATTATAATTGATATATTTGTTTAGAAATACTTCTAAATATTTGAAAATTAATATTTTCTAATTTTATAAATTTTAAATTTACATGATTTACTATACAACGACTAAGTCACGTCAAGGCACATGTGTGTCACTTCCCCTCTATGTCACTAGTGGCTAGCCAGGCGTGGGGCAAGGAGTGGTCGTACATACACGAGAAAAGGACTCATTGATTCCCAAATCTCCTATTACTATATATTTGTCCCAAAATTTAATGTATGACCGATGTGGGACTAAACTCATGTCACACTTTCCTCCGAATGATTGTATAATTTTTATACTTCAAATACTCCTTGTTTACAAAAAAAGAGGTAGCCTGATGATGTCACTTTATAAGGGTATTTGCATACATATTTTCCTACATATTGTGATTTTTATCTATTAGAGTCAAAGCTCATATTTTTATCTAATTAAATCGTGATTATTGTGCAGATCATCGACGAAGGATTAATTCGTCAAAAGTACTCAATCATCAGCAAAAATCTAGTCAAGGCGATTCGCGAAGTATCGTTACTAAAACTATTCAATGATTTGCGATAAAAAGATTACGAATCTATTGAGTAAATCATCTCCGATTGATTGACAAACAAGTCATCATTAGGAAGAAGACAATCTGCTAGAGACGAGTCACCACCTCCTAAGAGCATACCAAATGCAATGAAGAGCCTCCTCTTAATGTGTAGACTTGAAGATGAAATTCCCTAAAATGAGCCTCACCTCCATCTAGCTCTTCTACGTTAGGTGATAGCTACTAGAGAGTTGCAAAGTTGTTATTTTTTCACCCCGTCAGGTGACACCCACTGAAGATGATTTGACAATTTATTTTATTGATCTCTAAACTTTGTAATAAGATCTAGAGATTACTTTTGTCGTCCTTGTCTAAGAAGAGCCTTCAAGGCCATAGGCATTACATGATAATCCTCCTGAATGCTCAAGATTCTAATGCATCGTTGACATATAATCAAAGCATCACCGTCGAGAGACCAAAACTCTTTTGTATTAATTTTTTAACTAGTTTAACTTTCACCATTATTTTTTAGACTTTGAAAGGAGTCCAGCAAATGTCCAAGTGTCTATGTCCAAAGAGAGCCTTTGAGGTCGTGGACATCGTTTAATAATCCTCCTGTACACAGATTTTGGTGATTGTTGTTGCAAGGCCAGAACTTTGCCTTTCTTACTTTCAACTTAATTTTTACTTTATTAGTGATAATTTGTGTGATTTAAATTTTTCGAAGGATTCTTCATTTAATTACGTTTCTTCTAATTTTTACAAATTTTAATTTGACCAATTAAATTGTTTGTAATTGCTGATGTCACCTAATTCGTGTTTGTAGGATGTTGATATCATCTTGACGTCTGCACCCTTATTTTCCTTTTTTGTGAATTTTAAATATACTTCATTTTCATTTCTTAGTCTAAAAGTCATAAAATATCATATTCTTTGAGAAAACTTATAAAATATTACTTGATGTTATATTACATCCTTGTGATTGACCTGAAATTTTATTATAATTTTTGAAACTTTTATTAAAATTATAATTAATTTATTTTTTTAGAAATATTTTAAATATCTAAAAATTAGTATTTTCTAGTTTTATAAACTTTAAATTTATGTGATTTATTATACAATGACTAAGTCATGCCAACCACCCATTCCTATTTTATCACGATCAAATAAACTTAGAAAAACAATCACCTTTCTTAAGGCATTAGTACCAAACTTGAGAAAAGAGTTGAACCTAATGAAAAGCTTATGGAAATATTTAAACAAGTTCAGATCTCTATTCCTTTGTTAGATTCAATCAAACATATACTTGCATATGTACAACTTTTAGAAGAATTATGTATAGCTCGTAGATCACCTCAGAAGATATATTTATCTAAAGAGACTAGTGTCATTATTTCTCATTCTTTGCTTAGAAAATGTAAGAATCTAGGGGCACCTCTCATCTCATGTAAAATGAGGGAAATTATATTTAGAAATATGTTCTTAGATTTGGGAGCAACTGTTAATTTATTACGTAGTTGTTTTTGAAAATTTCTAATTAGGAGAACTAAAACCAACTTTAGTAAAACTTTAGCTAGCTAATAGAGCTATTAAAACACCTAGGGGTCTCCTAGAAGATGCCATTATCAATGTTAAAGTATGTAGATTTTCAATGAATTTTTTTCTTTTAGATATTCCTATTTAAGATGATCATATGCACCAATCATATTAAGACGTCGATTTCTTACTACAGCAAAGGCAAATATTGATTGTCAAAATGAGATTATAAATATGAAATATGAAGGTCAAAATATCTCTTTAATATTTTTAAAAATTCAAGATTTTTAAAAAAGGAAGATGACATCTAATCTAGCAGCTTGCGAAGCACCACAATATTGGGAAGTTAAGTTCTCATCTGTATCACTATTAGGGATATAAAGATAATAATTGATTATTATCTAGTAAAATATATATTATTGATTATCTTTAAAATCTTAATAGTAGTCGCAAATATGACAATCTGTTCTTTCCTCCTTTTGTATGATTAACGTATTGGATAATTAAAAAGTTCATCCCTTCTTCCCCCGACTGCACTCAAGACCTCTAGTGAGTGGTGAGTTATTCCTTTCTTCCCCTAGATGACACCAAGTGGTCAGCTCTCAATACTATTTTTTACTTAATTTAGTGATGCTTTGTGTGATTTCAAGTTTTGAAACTCTTTTTCATTATTTATGATTTTTCTAGCTTTTATAAAACTTAATTTCACTCATTAAATCATTTACAATTGCTTAGATAAGAATCACCAAGCGAAACTCTATTTTCACCTGATTCACATTCATTAGGCACTGATGTATCATAATGTCCGCACCCTTATTTTCCTTTTTTGTGAATTTTTAAAATATTATATACTCATCATTTAATCTAAAAATTATAAAAAAATATATTCTTCTAAGAAAATTTTGAAATATTTCGTGATCTTATCTTACATCCTTATGATTGACTTGAAAATTTTGTATTATTTTTAAAACCTTTTATCAAATTATAATTGATTTATTTTTTCTAAAATATTTTTAAAAATCTAAAAATTAGTATTTTCTAGTTTTATAAATTTTAAATTTATGTGACTTATTATACAATGACTAAGTCACATCAACGACCATATAGAAAATTTAATTTTAATTTTTTCTATTGATAATTATTTATGTTCATATTTTAGTAAGATAGATAACAACTTAACTTCAAGGATTAAAACCTTGGACATCAATCATTCTTATTAAAGTCATAATCATTTAGTAGAGAAAATTGATTAAATGAATTTCTTGAATGTAGTAGAATTTAAATCATAGAAGTGAAATACAAATAAGATCAATGTTGAATAAATTTTCATTTATAATCAAGCACATTTTTTCATCCATGTAGCCATTCAAATGATTTATGATCATAAAACAAAAGTAAATATTGATTAATTAAATCATTAGACATTAAAGAGTAGCACTTTTTTAGTTAGTTCTCATCAATCAAGGTGAACTAGGCCACTTCTTTGGTCCTTTTGAGATTCTAGAGTACATTGGCCTGATCACAAATCAGTTAACTCTTCCTCCAACTATGGGCATTGACTTGATATTTCATGCCCCACAATTGAAGTGGTCTATTGATTCTTCTCCGATTTCAACTCAAGAACTTATGTTGGATAGAGATATTATGCTAACCATGGCACCATCAAATGCTTTCTTTGTCTAACAAGGTCCACGACATCAAAGTTTTTATCAAATGGCAAGACCTTGATTTGAAAAGTATGCAGAAGACAACCCAAAGTATCAACTAATAGATTTAGAATTTCCTCTTGTAATTATAAGAGAAGAAAATATGCAATGAGTGAATTAGATATGAGATAATAAAAAAGAATGAAAATATTTTTAGTGAAGAGTTTTCAACTCTTTTGTTAAGGTAAAATATAAATTTTATTATGTTTAAAATTTGAAATAATATTTAATATATTTTCAAATTCCTTAATTTGATAATATCATAAAATCTGAACTTCCATCTCTTGATATGTGTCAACATGTGTGAAGACATACTACAAACATATCAGCTATATGGACTTTCGAAGAAAATAACTACAATAGACATCACTTAAAAATTCACATTAAATTCAGCTTTGTGAAGTGTGATATCATTAGTGGAGTTCAAATAAATTCAATGATAAATTCAACATAATAGATTCATTCAAATATCAATTAAATAAAATAAACATCACCTAATTTGTGCTTTTTAAATTCATGCACGACTAAATTAAATAGATATCCTAATAGGAGAATAGTAAAAATATCTCTAATTTTTTTATGCCTCAATGAAGTTCACTTAATTTGTGCTTTTATATTTTATTTATATTAAAATGTGATATAATTTCACTATATTTCATTCTAGAGTATATGTTAGAATTTTTTTTACTAAGTTTGTAGACTTGTTTGTCACTATATATTGGTTTATTTTCTAATTTTAGTGTATAGTCTGATTGATACTTGATCTAAAGAACTTGTGTACAACAATTACTAGATAGCATATATTCAACATCTATTGCAAACAATCTAACTGAATTGTTTTTCAAAGAAGCCTAAAAAAATTAACATTACATAAGAATATCCATGATTCACTTGAGTTCTTCTATCAATGATCCACTTTCATAAACCTTTATTCTAATTAAATATCTAAAAAATATATAAACATATGCACGGTGTGATCTTTTGGAATGCTCTCAAATTTAGTAGTAGTAGTAGTTAAATATAATAAATATTTAAAGATTACTCTGTATAATTTTCTAGTTATTTTTTTCTCTTCTAAGTCAATTTTAGAATTTGTACCCATGAAAGTTTTCTTGTTATTTAAAAATTTTCTTTTGTATTTCTCAACTAGTCCACATATATATATATATTTAAATATGAAATTTTTATTTTATAATCATTTCATTTATGAATCAAGAAAGAAATTTAACTCTTCCATCATATTCATCTCAAATTTCGTTTCTTACCAATAAATAGAATTCATTGTACAAGATCTTGTTACTTGCTGTAATTATAAAATCATCAACATATATATGCATGATTAAAATATCATTGCTTTTGTATTTTATAAACGTTTATTACCCTATTTCCTTTTTAAAGTTTATTTTATACCATCAAAGAATTCAATTTGTCACACTGAACTTATGGGATTTTCTTCAACTTATACACTCTCAAAGTTAAGACATTTTTTCATATATACTTATTATTTACTAAGTTAATTTAGAAGTGTGTTTCTCTCATCAATTTGATATAATTTGAAATTATTTCTGAACATAAATACAATAAGAATCCAAATTACATTGAACCTAGTTACCAACATATAAGTTTCTTCATAATTAGCACATTTTTATTAAACATAATCATGATAGATGAATGATAATTATAAATTATTAGTTACATCTATGTATTAATATCTTATATATAGATGCTAATTAATGAGTAAATAATATAATTATACATGTGTTACCAATTCTTTATGACATTTATAATATTTTATCATTTAAATCCTAATATATATTATTTTATTTGTTTTATTTATATTATGAGACTAACCTCACTTGACTTTTATGAAGTCAAGTGGTGATTTTTTCACATTTTCTTGATAATTATTTAATTGTAAGTACTTAGGCAAGTTCTTATTATGAGTTAGAAGTAATTAAAAAAGCCCAAGCCTTCAGCCCAATGAAAAGGTCAAGTCTTATAGAGAGGGGTGGCCTAATATATTTATGGGCCTTAAAAAGGGTGTCACTTTGGCCTAGCATATTTGGACTTAAAAAGGCTATCAAGAAATGAGATCTAAGTCATCTATCTTAGAGCACCATCCTCATGGAATGATCTAAGTCATCCACCAAGAGAGTTAGTTATTAATCTTAACCATCTATTGGAGGGGCCTAACTCTCGAGAGGATTAAAGCATCTCGGCCCTCTTTTGAAGGATACTTTTTGACTCTCTCTCTAGTAGTGGCTAACCAAAGGAAACAAGAGGAAAATCAAGGCCTAATCAATGACATTCTCGTGCCCAAGATCATTGTGGAGAAGAGATTACTTAGAGCACATCAAGATCATCACGGATTGAGCATCACTTGGCTTAAGATTGGCACATAATGAGGTTTGTGCAAGATCTAGATTTGGGTTGTCCTTGTAATCCTTTCTATTGATATATTAATTTTTAATTCGAACTAATTTTATCATTTATTCCATCATTTCATTGCATTAGATTCATTCTCTCCCCTTTGTCATGCTTTTCATGGCTCTTATCTTCACCTATTTATATTTAATTCCGTCCTTCACAATCTCACATGTATATATATATCTCTATATAAGAAATAAAATAAGTAGAATTCATACTCTTATTACCCACACTACTTGAGGATCAACCCTTATCCTAAATAGAAGAGTGAGGTTTTATAAATATTATTTACATGAACTTGGTTGCATCATGATGACATATTTAACCTCCAATTCAAGTTCATCAACGAACCTAGCCTTATATCTTAACTACCACTTGTCATTTAGTTTCAAAAGACTCATTTAGTTTTATTATTAATTATTTTAATTATACATCAAACATTATTGAACATGAATTATTTGAACTCCTCATTCATTGTATTTACCCACTCTATCTCAGAAAATACATTATTCATGTTCATATGTTGTATTTGGAAAGTAAATGATAAAGTTAACTCTCTTGTTTCTTATTTTCAATCATTTTTAATAGCTCATTACTTTCATCTTCATTTGGAATGTTCTTTTGTGATTTCAATTTTTCTATAAAGTTTATATGAGTAAACGCTCTAGCAAAAGTGTTCTTATTATAGATTTCATAGACTTTTGATTTTTCAAAATATCTAAGGACTCATTTGTCAATACCATGATTAATTTTTCTAGTTCTTCTCTCCCATTTCATAGAATAACACACTTGCATCTAAATGATCTGAACTATAACTAAATTTGGCATCCTATTCTTCAATACTAAATATGCTTACTCAAGTCAGGACAACATCTAGTGAGTAGTTTGGAGTGATGTGTGCACATATTTCTAGAATACTAGTCAGTCTCTTACTAGTATTAAAGCCTCGTCCAATGTGCCACAGTCAGGATCTACCCAAACCATGTCAACATCAAAGAGAACACATAATACTCTAGTAAAAACCTGATATGTCCATTGTCAAATTCCCATGATTTTGCCTATAATTGTTTCCAATTATGTTTATTTTCTTATATTTCCCTCTATACTCATGTTTATTCTAATAGATTTTCTATTTATCAATAAATAATATATGAAGGGGTATACACACAGTCAGCCCCTCTTAGCTCAAGTATGGTGCAAAATATTTAAAATAACGCCTAGTTTTGATACTACTAAACCTCAAAAGCCATCACTCTAAAAGTGGCCTATAATCAACCAATGCATGGAAAATGGCTTCAATTGGAATGTTAAAGGGGCTCAAGAGGCTAAAGATAATTTGATCCATATATGAGCCTTATGTGGCTGAAGAGGATGATATTTTAATAGTCGATTGGAAGTTTGTTGATCTTTTTCTGCACTCCACTGATATTTATACCATTGACCCCCACACTCTCTCATTCCCCATATGAGAGGTGGGCTAGAAGTGGACTTCATAAAGCCCATAACCCCAGGCCCATTAAAGCAAAAAATATACATGCCTCAATTAGCAGTGTCGATCAATAAGTTCAAAGCAAAACTTGAGTTGATTTTGCTTGTATTAGGCATCATAATCGAGCCCATTAAACATCACCCAAAAGTCCAAAGCATGTTTTCTCTCACTACGTTGCTGTCTCATGACCATCCCCCTCTTACTTACTCGCTCTCAACCTATATCTCTATCTCTATCTCTATCTTTCTATCCTACAAATGGGTGGAAAAGGAGGGCTGGCCATTAGTTGACCTGATGTGAGTCTGAGTCAAAGCCATTGACATCTTCAATTGAGGAGCATCGTCCAGCATCCAATGTGAAGGCAGGCAAGAAGAAATAGGCACTATGTCCTGGTCAACAACTTCACCTACCTTTCAATAGCAAGAAGAAAGAATAGAAACATTAGAAGAGATTGTCAAATCAAGAAATTCTAATATATAGATGTATATATGAAAGAGACCATAAATGCAAAACTTGGGCCGATTTTGCTTGTATTAGGCATCGGAATCAAGCCCAATAGACATCACCCAAAAGCTCAAAGCGTGTTTTCTCTCACTACATAGCTGTCTCTTAACCATCCCCCTTGTTATTCTCCTCTCTCTCTCTCTCTCTCTCTCTCTCTCTCTCTCTCTCTCTCCCTTCCTCTCTCTCTCTGTCTCTCTCTGTCTCTCTCTGTCTCTGTCTCTCTCTCGCTATGCCTTTGTCTCTATGTATCTTGTATCTATCTATCGATCTTACTGATGGGTGAGAAAGGAGGGCAGGCCACTAGTTACCATGATGTCAGTGCGGGTCAGAACTATTGACATCTTCAACTTAGCAGCATTATTGTCCATCATTCAATGGGAAGAAAGACGAAGAAATAGGCACCATGTCCTGGTCAACGACTGCACCTACCTTTCAATAGCAAGAAGAAATAATAGAAACATTAGAAGAGATTGTCAAATCAAGAAATTCTAATATATAGATGTACATATGAAAGAGCCCATAAATGCAAAACTTAGGCTGATTTGGCTTATCAGGCATCAGAATCAAGCCCAAAAAACATCACCCAAAAGTCCAAAGCGTGTTTTCTCTCATGACGTAGCTGCCTCATAACCATCCCCCTTTTACTCTCTCTCTCTCTCTCCCTCTCGATATATATATATATATATATATATATATATATATATATATATATATCTTTGCCAGGCTCTGTCTCTATCTATCTATCGATCTTATAGATGGGTGGAAAAGGAGGGCTGGCCACTAGTTGCCTCGAAGTCAGTGTGGGCCAGAGCTATTAACATCTTCAACTTAAACACATTATCATCCATCATCCAACGCGAAGACAAACAAGAAGAAATAGGCACCCTGTCCGAGTCAGCGACTGCACCTACCGTTCAATAGCAAGAAGAAATAATAGAAACATTAAAAGAGACTGTCAAATTATAATACATACATGTATATACGAAACAATACAATTTGAGTTTTTGATACAACAAGAAAACCTGGTAAATTCCTCTCCCTGTAAATCGGAATTATATCATATTACAAATATAATATTTTATTTATGGTAAGAGGTCATCCAATTTAGAATGCATAAAGGGCCTACATATGAATGTAAAAATTATAATAGCCCTCCTTAAATTGAATTTCTTCCAGAAAAGCAAAAGGGCCTCTTTCTAAGCAAACTAAGAACAAACCTGCAGTGACTTGGCCCCTAGAAGAGCGGAATATTTCTGCTCTAAACAATATCTGAAGAAGAGACATGGGGAGGGAGAGTGATATGAACTAATTGGAACGTTATCATGATATCGATTAATATAATAGACATCTTGGAGAGTAACAATTGAGACTAATGACTTGGAACACACCCAAAGGGAACACAGGCAAAAGATTGCATTTTCATGTGCACAGAAGAGTTTTTTTTAGGATACAAAGAATGTGAACAAAATTAGAAAGCAGTGATAATTTGTGCCACATTTCACGAAAATTCTCCTAAATTATTCAGAAATAAGCCCAAGAAAAAATTGATGGAAGCATGTGAGTGAGCATACCTCATATATCAGAAGTTGATCGATGAACTCACAAGAAGAATGCTCTTGTCAAATGCAATGACTGTTCAAGGCAGACCATGGTGAGCAAAAAATTAATAAATCAGTCATAATTTTTACATTCTTTAGAACAATACAATATAGTGTATGATCGTAGTTATATTCCCATAATTTAAAAATTATAATCTGATATGAATTGCACTTTATATGGTCTTATTTCTATTCCCATAATTAAATTAGGTGCACCTAATAATAGGTGAGCCATTGTCTATTGAGGGTAACATTAGTTTTTTGTTATTTGAGTCTTGTAGGTGCTTTTTGTAGAGTGTAAGTCTTTATATTCCTTTGCTAATTATTTTGATTACTATTCTTCTTATCATTAGTGATTTTCTGATGAAAACATATAAAAGTAATATGGAAAAGGGAGAGTTCAGGGGTACTAACCTTTGAGGCCAATCTCATTTTATCATTGAACAATCCATGTCAAGCATAAACTAGTTTTTCCACTTTACTCAAATGATCATGTAAATAAGAATATATTGATAAAAAAAATTGTGCCCCTTTTAAATTCTAATAACTTTGCAGCCCGAATTCACGTAAGTTCATTTTATTACTTCTTTCTAGCAAAGTATACTTTCCATTTATGAAAAGACTTTATTAGCACTCCAAAGTATTATGGGCATCTACCGCTGCCACTTCCTTGTCTTCAGCTTGTAATCTGCAATTGATAATTGAATTTCTCATAGATGGGATATTGAATAAGTCATGCAGTCCAATAGAACATAAAAGGCGACATTTTTCGTCCTGTGCATCAACTAGCATTGAATACTTCTCCAATGAATCCACAGTCAAACAAATGTGAACAGTATTTCATCTTTTTTGACACACTTATCCTTATCTCCTCACTTGCTTGACTGGTCGAGAAGAACGTTACACCACCTTCCAGGCTTCCATCGGAAGGCACAATGTCTTTCCTATAAATAGATAGTTTCATCACGGGGTGTTCCTGCACCAACTCTAGTTCAGACGAGAGAAGCATTGCTTTCTTGTTCCTCTGGTCTGGGCAACGATGGTGGCAAGAAATCTGATTCCCCTCCCCTTTCTACTCTTAATCTTCCTATGTCTTATCTTTTCACCATGCTTGGCCAGGAGCGAGCTCCGTGCCGGACAGACCCTCTTTGCTCCCCAATACCTGGAAACTGGGAGATTCACTCTTGTTATGCAGAACGACTGCAACCTGGTGTTATACGATGGAGGTGCCGTGTGGTCTTCTCGTACATTTGGCAAGGGAACGAATTGCCGCGCCGCAATGCAGACGGATGGGAACTTCGTCATATACACTGGTGGACGTCCAGTGTGGGCGAGCAACACCAACTTTGGCTTCGGAAATTACGTGCTCGTCCTCCAACGTGACCGCAATCTTGTCATCTACAACGGCCAGTCGAGGGCAATCTGGGCAACAGGCACCAACATATTTGGTGCAGGGGTGACCGTAGCACCCCTTAAGAACGCATCTTCCACTCCTGTAGGTGTGCCGGTCAAAAAGCCTTAAACTACTACCACTACTACTACTTCTACTTCTACTAGTCCTTTCGAAAGAAATAATAAACAGGTACATCAGATCTCATGTCTACTGTACTCCTTGTTGTGAGCTTGAGCAAATACAATCTTGTGAAGTGTGGTTATGTTTGTGTTAGTCAGAAAAATACATGGTTCTTTCTTAAAAGATCTACCTTAAAGGGCAACCTGTGCCAACTATATACGATTGATCACATGTAAGAGATAAGGGACCATGGCTACCATGTTCTACACACCCTCTCTCACTTAGATATAATATGTTCTACCATGTTCTAGGTCTCTTCTCTAAAACATCCAGCTATGTTCCAAACTAAACTTTGTACTCTCATGCCAGCTTTGCACTAGATCATACTCGAATCCACATATAACATCTGAAAAATTATAGAGCCATCATTGACATCACAAACATTGATGCAAAATTCTTGTCGATACAAGTACTGCCAGCCATCTACTATCATAGATGTAGGTTAATTATATAGCTTTTATATGTGAATCTCTAATCCATGTTTCATAATGCAGCATGTAAGCAAGTATAGGTGACGACTTTGAGTTTTACTGTCACTCACATAAATTAAGCCAAGATCAGGGTTTAGATTTTTAATTATGTCAAGGAAGCACAGTATGCCAAATATATCAGTGAGAGTAAATGCCAAGGCTCCAAATCCACTATGCAATTTCATGGTAACTGCTGAAATTAGTCCAGCAGTGTTCATAACCTGATGAACATTATACTCCAAAATTTAAACAAAACATACATACATATTTATAGTAGACGTAGATCATATTTTTCTTTGTTCTAGCTGCCTAATTTGTTTTAGAATTATAGTAGACGTAGATCATACATGATGAAAAAATTCATGGAAGAATAATTTGGATAATTCAAAATAGTAGAATTATAAATTCGGATGATTTAGATGATTGATTATTGACCAAAACTCAATAGTAAGAGAAAATCCCTCAACACTAAAGCAATCAATATTCCTGCTTGAAATGAATAAACTGATCAGGGATATAAGGTTAGGCACAACAAGCATAGGCAAAATAAAATATTTTCATAAAAAACATACTCCTGAAAATTGACTCCCACCCAACACAAACACACACTAAGCATATGTAGTAAACTCTGACCGGATTCCTGAGAAAACACACAAAAATATTGTTTTCATGAAGTAAAGAACACAACAATAAAGTCCTCATCTTTTCCCCATTGTGGCCTTTTAACCTAAGTCCAATAATTATCCACTTTATTAATTAATGCTCCCCAAAAATACCTTCATAAACTAAGCACCTACTCCTGAAAAAATACATGAGAAATTATTTCATAAAATAAACAACACAGCAATAAAGTCCTCATCTTTTCTATTTTTTTCTGTGACATTTAACCCAAGTCCAAGAGTCATGCACTTTATTTATATGATGCCCCACTCAAATATATTCACATACTAAGCACCCACTCTTGAAAAACACAGAAAATAAATATTTTCATAAAATAAACAACACAACAATAACATCATCTTCTTGTCTCCATTTTCCTACGAAATTTTAACCAAATTCCAATACTTATTATCCCACAATCGTCTACAGATCTTATGTTGTAGTACACTGGTGCCAAAGAGGGCTTGAAGACGAACAATCTGTCAGCCGGCAGGTGTAGGAGAAGACCCCCGCATGGGCGTCCGCTGGGCAGGTGCAGTTTGGATGGGGCCCACCTATCGGCCTCACAAGGCATTACAACCACCGATCAACTTCTGGCATCATCTTCACCAATGTGTAGGCACCCTTGAGTTCGTGAAGCCCTAATAGTTGACCACCTCCCAAGACTTCGTGAGGCATAGGACCTCAGCACCTATGGAAGGATGCTTGATCCAAGAGGAAGAAGATGATGAGGCCAGGAGAATTAACATTTTAGAGATGGTGTCCCTGGACTTTTTGAGATGAGAAAATTGATCTCAGGTTATACTATCTCCAGCAGTTAATTTTTAGGGCCTGAGATGAATGCCATAAGAACAATGCTGTGAGTTTACATTTGGCTGGTGGAAGAATGTAGATTATGTGATCCACGAGAGTATAATAGACTAATGAGAAACACGAGAGAATATGTGAGAAAATGCCCACATCCAGAAATCAAAATGAAGCCATTACCAGCCCTTCAAATGATATAAAGTAGAAGCTGAAATTAATCTTCACTTTTGATGACCTAAACACTCACCTCAGCATTCCATTTTGGTGTGAACCAGATGATAAATTAGATGTACATCTCTAATATATCTTGATACAATAGCATCACCACAAGGGACCCAGAATCAATTTGGAATTGTCTTTGGAATCTCTATAAGGATCACCATGATGTTTCCTCATCAACCAAAAATTTATTTTGCTCACATATACTCATAAGGCTCTCATTTCAGAAATTTATGATGACTTTTCTATTATAATCCTCATCCTAAATAGTACACATGTGAGACCTTCCAAATCAGGATGCAAGAACTTGTCCGCAATTGGGAGAGTCCAATCGATTGATACCTGATAATACACCATTTTTATGAGAAAAGCAATCCATAATTATCGTATTTTATGTATTCATTCATGCTAAATAATAGAGATTTAATGTGAAATCAGATAAAATATATTCTAGATCAATTTCACGAAATTCATTCCTCATTTATAATTTCTGTATATATTATAGCATGTTTGTATTTGAATATTCTTTTATTATACAATTCTATGTTTCACTTGAGAATTTTATCCTTAAATATATTAAAATTATATTTAAAAACATAATTTAATTATTAGAGTCACAGTTTTGAAGACAAATTTGTTTCCCTGATTTTTGGTCATTTTTCAGAATATTCTCAAAATATATCTTGCCTTCTAGGGGCATTCTAAAACCCATTAAGGAAGCCCAATAAGAGGCCCATTGGGTCGATTTAATTAATTATATCACAAATGACTTAAATGGGTAGAGAAATGTGTGGAGAAAGAAAATCCAATTTGCACTGAAAATAAACTGATTTCTAAGGAATCTAATTCTAAGAAACCCATAATCAATGGTAAATCTAATTCACTATAAAGACTTTTTGAGGGTGAAAATAAATTATTTTTCTTCCACCTTCCACTAGGTGACAACTAGTTTAGTAAGTCTGTTTCTCAAGACTCATTTTGTTTTAAGAGCATTTTGATTATTAAAGCTTTTAACTGGATACCAAACATCATTGATTCTGAATTATTCTAGCTCCTAATTCATCATATTTACCCACTCTTTCAAAAAAGGCATCAGTCATGTTCATAGGTTATATTTGATAAATAAATTATCTCATTTCTTGTTTTCAGTTATTAATAACTTATTAATTTTATACTCATTTGGAATGATCCTTTGCCATGTCAATTCTTATATAAATTTTATATGAAGAACTTTCAAATATCTAAGTTTTCTTATTATTAATTTCAAAGGCTTTTGAACTTTCAAATATCTAAGGAGGATTCTCTTGTCACTACTGTGATCAAATTCTCTTAGTTCTTCTCTCCCATTATGTAGAACAAAACACTAGCATCTAAATGACTTGAACTAAGCTAAATTTGACATCTTATTCCTAAGTAGTTGATAAGGTTACTCAAACAACAACAATGTCTAGTACGTCATTAGTTGTGATGTGTGCACATATTTTAAGAATACTAGTAAATTTCATACCCTAATTGTGCAAGGGTGTTACTTTATTAATGAAAAACAAATCAAAGTTAAAAGACACATTGATGTGACTTAATCATTGTATAATAAATCATATAAATTAAATTTTATAAAATTAGAAAATAATAATTTATAAATTTTAAGAAAATTTTTAGAATAAATTAATAAATTATAAATTAGATAAGACGTTTCAAAAATACTAAGAAATTTTTAAGTCGATTATAGGGTTGTAATATGATATGGTGTAATATTTTAGAAATTTTCACAAAAAATATGATTTTTTATGATTCTTAGACTAAATAATGAAGATAAAATATATTTAAAATTCACAAAAAGAGAAATAAGGATATAAACATCAAGATGACATCAGTAGCCAAACTAAATAAAGATTCATCTAACAATTCTTGCGTAAGTAATTAAAAATAGTTTAATTGATTAAATTAAGTTCTATAAAAGTATTACTAAATTAAGTACAAATTAAGTTGAAAGTAAGAAAGATAAAGTTCCAACCTCTTGATAGCTATTGTCTAAATTCTAAGTATTTAAGAGGATTATCGAGTAATATCTATGGCTTCAAATGCTCTCTTTCGACATAGATGACTTAGTCATTCTCTAAATCTCATTGTAAAGTCCAAGAAATGATGATAAAAGTTAAAAGAATTCAAAGCCATAAAATAAAGTTCTAATGTTGCAGTGGTGATGTGTTAAAATCTTGAGTGTTCAGGGGGCCTATCATATAATGTCCACATCATGAAAGGCTCTCCTTAGATATAGATGACGTGAATAATTTCTAAATATTCTTGTGAAGTCTAAAAATCTTTAGGTAACAGTACTCCACGAATCACATTGACAAGATTTTCATAGATGATTGAACAATTCTAGTAGCTTAATCGTTGATTGACACTCTATAGAAAAATCATGATTTAATCATATAAAAATACCCTTATAAGGTGATGTCATAAGGATATTTCTTTCTCAAAAACTAGGGGTATTGTAAGTATTAAAAATTATTGAAAACCTTTCATGAAGCTATGAGTAGGTTTAGTCTCACATTTATTATTTTCTAAGTTATGAGCTGAATATATAATAACATAAGATTTAAGCAATAACTCTCTCTCACACACATGTGTATGACCACTCCTTACCCCACGATCAACTAGCCACTAGTGACATGAAAGGGGAGTGATGCACATGTGTCTCCTACTAGTCCTTAGCCAATTGAGTCCCTTGCTTGTAGTTTCACTAACTGTGCTTTCAACCCACTTATAGGTTCGACTAGTCAGTGGGTCTCCTTTTTTCTATATTTTTATTTTATTTTATTTCTCTTTATTTATCTCAAGAATAGGTTTATAAAAATTATATAAATTCACATAAAATCACATAATTAGTTAAAAAATTACATAAATAACCAAAAACCACTTTACACAATTTAACATAAATATAAATATATTTATCATAAGTTAAGACTTAAAAAATATTATTAATTAACTATTAACTCATAATAATTAAGACTTATCATGCATCTAATGTCTCAAGGTCACGATCTACCCAAACCATGTCAACATCAAAGAAAACACATAAGATACTCTAGTAAAAAATTATTATTCCTATTTTCAAGTTGTCATGATCATTTTTTTCTCAAGTATGATTTTTTTCTTATATTTCCTAATATACTCATATTTATCACAATAGATTTTGTATTATTAATTAATAATATATGAAGGGGAATACACACAATCAACCCCTTTCGACTCAAGTGGATTGATTTTTTTTTAAGAATAGCCCTTAACTTTCAAATACTACTAAGCCTGAAAACCCATAACCTTGGAAATTAGCTTATAATCAACCAATGCAGGGAAAATGGCTTCAATTGGAGTGTGTGCATTAGGCTCAAGATAATTGGATCCATATATGAGCCTTATAAGGCCCAAAAGCATGAGCTTTAAATAGTCCTAATTAGAAGCTTACTGATCTTTTTTCTCACTCCACCAACATTTATATTATTGGGCCCCACGCTCTCCCATTCCCCATATTAGGGGTGAACTAGAGGTGGGATTCACAAAGCCCATAAGCCTCAAGCCCATTCAAAGTAAAAAATATCCATGTCTCATTAGTAATGTCAGTCAATAAGTTCAAACCAAAACTTGTGCTGATTTTTCTTGTAGTAGGCACTAGAATCAGGCCCATTAAATGTCACCAAAAGCCCAAAGCATGTTTTCTCTCATACATATCTATCTCACAACCATCCACCCTCTTACTCTCTCTCTCTATCTATATCTCAATATCTCTCCCCATGTCTCTCTATCTTTGTCCAGATCCCTATCTACCTTTCTATCTTACAAATGGGTGGAATAAACAAGGTCAACCATTAGTTGCCTTGATGTGAGTCTAGGTCAGAGCCAACATCTTCAACTAAGCAATATCATCATCCATCATCCACTACAAAGATAGAAACAAGAAATAGGCACCATGTTCTGGTAAATGACAACACCTACCTTTCAATAGCAAGAAGAAATAATACAAATAGTAGAAGAGATTCTCAACTGAATAAATTAAAATATATATGCCCATATATGAAAGCAACTCAACCCTAGCTCACAACTTCCCTAATTGAGTTTCCCACCCATGTGTGGAACCCTCTATCAGCTGCTCGGTGTTAACTAGTCTATGGAACCCCCCCTTCGTGGTATTTTTTATTTATTTTATTTTTCTTTATTTTAACTCAAAAATGTGAATGTGAAAATCATATAAATTCAAATAATTAAAAAAAATCACATTAATCACAAAAAATTCTTGATTTAACATAAATATAAGGTTTTATCATAAGTTAAGGTGAAAATATATATTATTAATTAATTCTTAACTCATGATAATAAAGACTTCTTATTGGTACATTCCTTTTTTTGTAAATTAAAATATCTAATATTTTATATATGATAAGAGGTCAAACAATTAGATAGCATAAATGGTATACACATGAATGTAACAATTATAATAGCCATGCTTTTTATTTTAGCAACCCATGGTGTTTATTTCATTCTATCTTTTTAAGTTCTATTTTTTTTAGAATTTTGTAATATTTGTCTCTGAATTTTTTTTTTCCGAAATAAAAGTGTAGAAGTGTAAGATGAAGTGGAAAATTAAAAAACGAGGTTAAGGTGATTTTTTCTGAACTTTATCTTATATGAAAACATTTTTAGTACTTAATTTTGGGTATGTGCATGCTTCACTTGAAAATTATATTTTTTATATATTTTATTCCGATTTTTCTATGACATTGAGGCAATGTAATTTTTAAGTTAGGAGATGAAGTATTAAGTCTTAATTTATGTTATAGGATGATTAAGAACATGTGTTTGTATTTTTTTTCATGCTCACTTATAAAAGCAACTAAAAAAAATTCGAAAAAACTACAACACCTATTTTTTGGTTTTTAATCAGAAATTGTAGAAAACAATTTATAGATTCTCAAAAACAGCCAAAAAAACAGTCCAAAATTTGAAACCTTAGAGACACTTTCTCACATTTCAATTCCCTAGACATTATTTCTGATGTTCAAAAATTAAAGCTATAAAGATGATAGTTTTGATTTACTTTTAAGAAATAGAAAACATCGTTGGACATAAATAGGATTAAAAATAGAAAATTTTGACTTATTCCCTAGACAATTCATCGTTGCGGAAAATAGGATTAAAAATAGAAAACATAAATGTCAAAATTATTTAATTTATAAATTTCTAACATCATACTGCATGCATGAAAAATTAAGTCAATTAGATTGATTGATACTAAAAATTATTAGGATGATTACTATTGAGTTAGAATAATGATTTAGTAGCATGTAATGTTAGAATACTCCTTGGACACATGATAGATAACATGGATTTGATTTTATAAATTTTCACTTCCTCATTTTTATGGATAATATTTACTTGGTGTGAAAATTTGATTGATCATTTGAGTTTAATTGAGATTTTTACACCCTAATCTATAAGACTTGTGAGGAGAAATCACTTATTTCGAAAGAAAAAAAGAACAATGTGAAAAATTTAAAAACGAAAAGTACACATACAAGGTGTGAGACATCATTCTCATTGTTGAAAATCATCTATAGAAAAATATTTACTTTCAAATAAGTAGATAATATGAAAGCCCTGAAAATGAAGAGTACACATGGGGGATGTAAGACATCATTTTTATTGTCAAAATTTATCTATAGAAAAAGCTACTTATCTACTATAGAAAAAATAGAAAACATATTATGTAAACTTCAAAAATCAAGTCATGGAAAAAAGAAAATATAAAATTAATATTATTTTTGGATGAATATTAATAATTAAAACATCTTGTGAATTCTATCTATGAGTGAAGAATTGATAAAGATGTGAATAGAAGAAATGAAGCCTAAATTGTTATTCTAAGGAGTGCTTTAATATTTCAGTTCTTGACATCATTCTTAAATACTTGATATAAGAATCCAAAGTGTTTAAAGGTGCATCATTTCTAATTGTATTTCTTTTCTGTATTGAAATATGATGTTTGAGATTTGTAAATTTTTATTTTCGTAATTCCATTGCTAAGGGACTAGTAATGATTTAAGTTGGGGGGTGTGATAAGTCTTCATTATCATGAGTTAATAATTAGTAAATAATATAGTTTTAGCCTTAACTCATGATAAATAGACTTATATTTGTGTTAAAGCATGAAAAGTGGTTTTCAGTTGATTAACGTGAATTTTTGGGTAATTATGTGATTTTATACGATTTTTACAGTCTTAGTTTTGAGATAAATGAAGAACAAGAAATAAAAATAAAAATATTGCAAAATGGGGGGACCCGCCGGCCAGCCGGGCCCGCAAGCGGGTCGGAAGCGCAGTCGGGGAGTAGCCGCGAGCAGGGGCTCGAGCGGCTTGCTTGGATCGATAGGGGCACGTGTGTGCCACTCCCCTTCCACGTCACCGGTGGTCAGCCGGCTGTGGGGCAAGGAGTGGTCGTACACGCGAGAGGACTTTGCCTAGAAAGCTAACTTACTATATATTCGCCCGAATAATCCGCGCACAACCGATGTGGGACTAAATCCACCTTGTTCAGGGGCGGGCGACCGCCGCGGGTTCGAATCCTCCCAGAGTCAAAATTCATATATTTTTAACTGATTATCGCGACTTTCCTGCAGATCGCCGGTGAAGGATTAAGCAACCGGAATCGCTGGATCATCGGCGAAAATCTCGTCAACGCGATTCGCGGAGCATTGCTACTAAAATTTCTGAACGATTCGCGATAAAAGGATCGCAATCCATCGAGTAAATCATCTCCGATTGATCGACGAACAAGCCGTCGTCGGGAAGAGGACGATCCGCCGGGAGACCAGTCGCCACCTCCTGAGAGCGTACCAGATGCGATGAAGAGCCTCCTCTTGCTGCGCGGACCTGAGGATGAAGCTCCCTAACACGCGCCTCACCTCCATCCAGCCCCTCTCCGTCGGGTGACAGCCGCCGGAGAGCCGCAAAGTCGCCGTTTTTCCGCTCCGCCGGGTGACAGCCGCCGGAGACGATTCGACGACCCACTTCATTGGTCTCTAGACTTCGCGAGAAGATCTAGAGATTGCCCACGTCGTCTTTGTCCAAGGAGAGCCTTCGAGGCCGTGGACACTGCACGACGACCCTCCCGAACGCTCAGGATTCCGGTGCATCGCCGACGCGTCGCCGTCGCGACGCCGGAACTCTGTTTTCCTGCTTTATCTAGAGATTGCCCACGTCGTCTTTGTCCAAGGAGAGCCTTCGAGGCCGTGGACACTGCACGACGATCCTCCCGAACGCTCAGGATTCCGGTGCATCGCCGACGCATCGCCGTCGCGACGCCGGAACTCTGTTTTCCTGCTTTCAATTTAATTTACGCTTCATTTAGTGATACTTTGTTGATTTTAATTTACCAAACTATACTTCGTTCAATTACGATTCTTCCGGCTTTTACAGATCTTAATTTGATTAATTGAGTCGTCTGTAATCGCCTACGTAAGAATCGCCGGGCGGAACTCTGTTTCCGCCTGATTCGCGTTCGCCGGGCGCTGACGTCATCCTGACGTCCGCACCCTTATTTCCTCTTTTTTTCGTGAATTTTAAATATATTTCCTTTTTATTTCCTAGTATAAAATTCGTAAGAAAATTGTACTCATTGAGAAAAATTCTGAATAATTACCAGATATTATATTACATCCCTGTGATCGACCTGGAAAATTACCGCTATTTTTGGATTTTTTATTGAATTATAATTGATATATTTATTTAGAAATACTTCTAAATATCTGAAAATTCGTATTTTCTAGTTTTATAAATTTTATATTTGCGTGATTTAACATACAACAACTGAGTCACGTCAAATTTTGGCGCCGTTGCCGGGGATGTATTGAATAATATTTAGTATTTTTCTGTTTTTCTCTTAGAGTACACAAAAAAAAAAACTTTACTCTTGTTTTATTTTCTTTTTGCCGATTAGAAAAAGGGAACGAAAAGAAGCACGGCAAGGACTGGAGCATCCTGAAGGAGGGTAACAGTTACTAACTTTTTCTCTCGAATTTATTGATTTTTATGCATGGTAGAAGATCCTTGCATCCAAGGCTAGAAAATCCTTTCATTATTTCATTCAAAAATAAAAATCCGAAAGAAAAATTAATTTTGATGGATCCTGAAGGAAGTACAGGTCAAACTGAGAACAATCCTATGGCCATGAAAAATCATTATATCCCTAATTCATTTCAAAGAGCATCTAATATTAGAGTCCCATTAGCACCCACTGTTAAATTCGAAATAAATTCAGGAATTTTTCAAATGCTCCCTAATTTTCATGGATTGCCTTTAGAGGAACCTCATCAGCACTTAGAAAAATTTCATATGGTCTGTGATTTAGTTAATCTCCCTCAAGTTACACCAGAAATTATTAAGATGAAATTATTCCTCATACACTTAGGGACAAAGCTAGTCATTGGCTATCCACATTAGATAGAGAATTAACTAGCTGGAAAGATATAGAACAGGCCTTTCTTCGAAAATTTTATCCCTTAGGAAAAACTCAAAATATGAGAAAACATATATAGAGTTTTTCTCAAAGACCAGGAGAAACTTTGCATGAGACATGGGAAAAATTCAAGGATTTACTTAGAAAGTGTCCTCATCATGCTATACCCAAGTGGCAGCTCAATAGAATTTTTTATGATGGATTATTAGAACAACATAGAAATATGGTTGATTCTATATGTGGAGGAGCTTTTATGGAGAAAACTCCTGATGAGATTTACAATCTTTATGAGAATTTAAGTGAAAATTCTAGAGATCAAGCCTCTTTTGAATTATATGACAGGGATAAGAAGAGAGGAATTTATGAATTGCATCATGATGATGATTCTAAACTTAGAAATGAGGTTAATCAGATTAATCAAAGATTAAAAAAAATTGATTTACTTATTGATAATATTAGAAAGCCTTTTAACCCTCAACTTAATTCGAATAGTACATGTCCTATGTATGGTGAAAATGATTATTCTGAACTTCAATGTTATAATTTAGATCAATCATTTCACCCTATGCAAGAACAAGTGCAAGTAGCTCACGGTTTTAATAGAAATAGGGAAAAATTTTCAAATTCTTATAATCCTAATTGGAGGAATAATTTTTCATGGAGAGACCCAAATAATATTCAAAATCCAGAAGCACTTAGACCCAATTCAAACTCTGAATTTCGTCCAAAACAAGAAAATAGATTTCAGAAAAATCAGCCCTCTCAAACCCAACCTGATGCTATGGAAATGATGCAGCAAATGAGCCAAATGATGCAACAAACTATGAATCAAATGATGCTTCATCAGAAACAAATTATAGAGGCTCTTGAGAATAAGAGAGAAGAGGGACAGCTACCTCGTCAGCCCATAGAAAATTCAGAAAACTGTCCAACAGTAAGATTTCAGCAAGAAGAGTCTAGCTAGATAAATTTAGAAAAAAACCCACGAAATGAAAATGTTAGGACAGTGAATATATTGAGTGAGAATATTTTACCTGAACCTTATTTTCAATTATTAGAAGAAATTGATGATCCATTAGAAGTAAATGAGAATATTAAGGCCAAAAATGTAGTAGCAGAAAATTTGAATAAAATCATTTATTGCTCACAATTGATGAATGAATATAGCGAGGATGATGAGGAGAAAGAACCCTTAGATGAAGAAACAGCAACTGATCATAGAAAAATCATCCAAATTTTAGTAGAAGGGAGTAAGGACAGAAATGAAGAAAAATATATTTCAAGTGAGGAAAAATCAACTGATTTGGGAGATGTAGGAGACGAAATTAATGAATCTAATCATAATTTTGCAGCCATGGATGTTGATTGTGAGGATGATGATGTATATCATATACCAAAATTTAAAGATAGCTCTTGGGAAGATGAAGAATTTGATGAGTTGAGAAACGAAAAGCTAGAAAAAGAATTGATTCAACTAATGGGAACAAGCGAAAATAATAGATATGAATATAGAGATAATTTTGGAGGAGAAAATTTGAATTTTACTGAATTCATTAGATCTGAGATTAAAGAAGACAATCCTTCCATCCTTCAAAACCCACAGCCCATTAGAATTATTTCTAAGCTTGAAATATTTCACTCCTCCCAAATTGAACAAATATGTATGGAAGATAAAATGGAGCAGGGGAAGATTATGCAGATAAAAGAAGACATTAAGAAATGGGTGAGTGGAAGAATTAGAGATACCAATTTAGATGAAAAAGTTCTAGATTGGGCAAGAGCTAATCTGAAAATTATATGGCCTGATCACATTTTATGGTTTATTAATAGAAAGTATTTATTAATGAATGAGAGCCTAACAAAACAAGATAGAAATAAGGAAAGATTCTTTTCAAAATGGAAATATTATTTTTGGGAAAATTTTGTTAATTTCCATTTTGTTTTGGCTGAAAGTATGTCAAGGTATATATATGAAGTATATGAATTTATGCTAAATCTGAAAAAGAATATCATAAAACTTACCTTGGGATACAAATATATTTTGATGGCCATAGATCAGCTTATATGATATAAGAGCTGTCCAGCTGGAGACATTAAATTCAGCGCTGCATGGGAGGCAACCCATGGTTTTTATTTCATTCTGTTTGATTTTTTTTTAAGCTCTGTTTTTCTTAGAATTTCGCAGTACTTGTTTCTGTATTTGTTTTTCTGTCGAAAAAGTGCAGGAGGAGTGTAAGATGAAGTGGAAAATTAAAAACAAGGTTGAGGTGATGTCTTTCTAAGCTTCATCATTTATGAAAATATTTTTAATGCTTAACTTTGCACATATGCATGCTTCACTTGAAAATTATATTTTCTGCATATTCTGTTTCGAGTTTTCTGTGTCATTGAGGACAATGTCATTTTTAAGTCGGGGGGGAAGTATTCATTATTAATTTATGCTGTAGGACGATTAAGAACATATGTTTGCATTTTATCCAACTTAGAACAGAAACTAAAAAAAAAAAAAAAAAAATCGCCGAATTCGGAAAAACTGCAACATCTATTTTCTGGTTTTCTGTCAGGAACAACAGACTGTCAAAAACAGCAGATGAAAAAACAACCCGAAATTTGAAATTATAGAGACCCTTTTCTCACATTTCAATCCCCTAGACATATATTACTGAAATTCGAAATTACAGCTATAAAGAAGATAGTTTTGATTTATTTTTGACAAATTTATTGCTGCTAAAACTGAAAACAGAAAACAGAACTGTCAGAACTATCTAATTTACAAATTCCTTACATCATATTGCATGCATGAAAAATTAAATCAATTAGATTGATTGATACCAAAAGATACTAGGAAGATTATTATTGAGTCAAAAGAATGATCTAGTAGCATGAAATGTTGGAATACTCCTTGGATACATGATAGATAACATGGATTTGATTTTACAGATTTTCACTTCATGATCTTGATGGATAATATTTACTTGATGTGAAAATTTGATTGATCATTTGAGTTTAATGGAGATTTTTGCACCCTGATCTATAGGACTTGTGAGGAGAAATCACTTATTTCAAAAAAAAAAAAAAAAAAAAAAAGAGAGAGCAATGTGAAAAATCTAGAAACGAAGAGTACACATGGAGGGTGTGAGACATCATTCTCATTGTCGAAAATCGTGCATAGAAAAACACTTGCTGAAAAATAAGTGGATAAAGTGGAAGCCCTGAAAATGAAGAGTACACATGGAGGGTGTGAGACATCATTCTTATTGTCGAAATTTGTCTACAGGAAAAGCTACTTATCCACTATATATATATATAAAAAAAAAAAAAGAAGGAAGAAATATAGTGCAAACTTCAAAAATCAAGTCATAGAAAAAGGGAAATGTAAGATCAATATTATTCTTGGATGAGTATTGAAAATTGGAACATCTTGTAAATACATCTATGAGTGAAGAAGTGATAAAGATGTGAATAGAAGAAGTGAAGTCTAGATTGTTATTCCAAGGAGTGTTTAAACATTTAAGTGCTTGACATCATTCTTAAATACTTGATATAAGAATCCAAAGTGTTTAAAGGTGCATCATTTCTAATTGTATTTCTTTTCTGTATTGAAATATGATGTTTGAGATTTGTAAATTTTTATTTTCGTAATTCCATTGCTAAGGGACTAGCAATGATTTAAGTTGGGGGGTGTGATAAGTCTTCATTATCATGAGTTAATAATTAGTAAATAATATAGTTTTAGCCTTAACTCATGATAAATAGACTTATATTTGTGTTAAAGCATGAAAAGTGGTTTTCAGTTGATTAACGTGAATTTTTGGGTAATTATGTGATTTTATACGATTTTTACAGTCTTAGTTTTGAGATAAATGAAGAACAAGAAATAAAAATAAAAATATTGCAAAATGGGGGGACCCGCCGGCCAGCCGGGCCCGCAAGCGGGTCGGAAGCGCAGTCGGGGAGTAGCCGCGAGCAGGGGCTCGAGCGGCTTGCTTGGATCGGTAGGTGCACGTGTGTGCCACTCCCCTTCCACGTCACCGGTGGTCAGCCGGCTGTGGGGCAAGGAGTG